GTATATATATAATAAACACTTAAGACAAACTCAAACTTATTCTTCGTTTGCACATTATACAGTTAATTTATTTATTTTTCCACATTAGACAGTTAAATGCAGCAATATCTGAGAAACACTTGCAACAATTGTGCAAATAATTAATAGTTGTTTTCCATGAATATCGTACAGAAATTAAGTGTACCATACATGAGGTCATGTGGCAGTAAAAGATCAAGGACAATGGAAGAGGTACGTAGCCGCATCTCATAAAAAATATATATCAAGAAATGTTGGATGAATTAAGTAGTCGGAGGTTTACGGACGTAAGAACGCTTCCACTCCTTCCTCACAGAACTTACACAGTGTTGTTTTTTCTTCCAAGGCATCGAATGGGGAGAGTGACGAGCCAAGGCGAGATCTGAGGAGTAGAGGGCTTTGTCTGGTACCATTGTCATGCACATCATACGTGACAACCGAGCAAGGAGTCTGGTCGCCGGTTCCATCCTCCTGTACTGGAAGTGGTTGAACTATGTAGTGTAATTTAGTATAAGGTTTTGAGCTTTACTAATTCCAGCTTTGATGAATGGAATTAGGAATATTTCATGTTTGATCTTTTCTCTTTTGTCGTCTCCACTTCTTGTGTGAGTAAATGCAGCTTTGAAGCAAATGTCGTATATTTGATAGAATCATCAGCTGATATGACGGCGAAGATTTATGTAGCTGCAATCACGATAATTATAAGGGGAGGAAACACGACGATCCCCACAAAGGTGAAAGAATTCCCCCCTAAAAACAAGCTACCTTTGAGTTGACATTTACGCGCAAATTCTTACTCTCTAATAGGCCCTTTGACTCCTTTTCATGGACATTTTGACCTTAAAGACTTTTTCTCTATCGAGGATGATCTTCGAAGACCTTGTAATCCAATATATAATTTTGAAGCTGCACTTGATTGCAAAATCAAGATGAAGACGTGTGAATTAGATTACAATTTTTTTTAAAATAATTAAAATAATAAAATAAATTTACATTATGTTTGCCTTTGATGTTTAAAATATACAGTAAATATTGTGTTACACTCGTAAATGAACTCTGTGTTGCATTCTATTTATATAAGTATAATTTTTTATCTTGATTCTATAAACGAATGTAACAATTTGTCAAACTTCAATAGTGTGTATATATATATATATATATATATTCCATTAGTTTTCTATTTTAAGTAATTTTAGATATTTTAAGTCAAATTTATTATGTTTTAAAAATTGATTTTATCATCAAGTATAAAATAATTTATTCATGAGTGTACCACCGTAAAATTTATCCAAATTATCTCGATGTTCCCATAATAGACAAATATGATACAAGATTGAGCAAGAACCTGTAAACCATATAATTCTCCTTTAATTCTTCTTATAGAACATATAAGGACTATCTTAAGGGTGCCCATTGATAAATTTTGAAAAGAGAGAAGGAAAAAAGCTTAAATGTGTCCTTTTTTCGAAAGGATACATTATTATGTATATATATATATATATATATATATATATGATTTTTTTTTAAAAATATTTTTACTTTTGCACGTTGGCGTCGTCTTCTCCCTCGTCATATTAGGGATTAAGCAAACGAAGCGATTTCATTTTCTAGGGTATCTCCTCTTCGACCATGCGATCCTTCCTACTCTCCCGCCTCCGACGAAACCCTCGCTTCTTTCTCTCTCCGATAGCCTCCATCTCCACTCCTCAATCCCCTTCTCCTCCCCCTCCTCTATCTTCGCCATCAATTCGAACCCTCCATGGTCTCCCTCCGAACCCCCAAAGTGTCATTACTGCCCAACCAAGCTCCTCGCGCGTCGTCCAATTATTCTCTCCGGAGGAAACCCACACCGACGGCTGCGACGACGAGGACGGCCCCATGAACGAGTTCCTCTCCCGTTTCGTTTGGATCATCCGCCCCAAGCTTGCCGACGCCTACCCGGCCCTCCCAAAAGACACCCTCGAGGCCATGCTTCTCGTCGTCTGCCAGAAAGTCGTCGCCTTGATGGAGCCCGGCGCTAGCGTCGACGATCCTCCCGTGGATCTCAGCGAGGACTTATGGAAGACCGTCGTCGAGGTGAGCAACTCGGTGTACGAGGCGATGCGGAGGGACCGGATGAGGGAGGAGCTCAAGAAGTACCTCCACTGGGATGAGGTCAAGGAGATGTGCCGATTCGCAGGGGACATCGGCATCCAGGGACCGATGCTTCGGGAGCTTCGGTTCAAATGGGCGAGAGAAAAGTTGGCGGACGTCGAGTTTTACCGGAAACTGAATCAGATGCGGGAGCAGGCCCAGAACCAAGAGCGACAAAAAGTATTGTCTTTGAGCTCTGGGACTGATGCAGGGAGTGTGTCTTTGGCGGAGGAGAAAGTTGGGGGGTCAAAGGTGGCAGCTTTGCCACAGAGGAAGGGGAAGATCAAATACAAGATCTATGGGCTGGATTTGTCGGATCCCAAATGGGCGGAGGTGGCAGAGAAGGTGGAGGAGGCTGAGAAGCATTTTGTGCCTGAGGAGCTGCAGCCTGTTGAGGGGAAGTGTAAGAAGGTTGATGAGAGGATCCTTTCTTTGAAGGCTAAAAGGGATGACCCAGCACCATTGTTGGCAGAATGGAAGGAGCTCCTCCAGCCAAAGAGGATTGATTGGCTTGCATTGCTTGACAGAATCAAGCAGAGAAATGTGGATTTGTACTTAAAGGTCAGTTCTTTCCGTTTTCATATTCTTGGATGCATATCCTCTCTGGTACAGAAACCTTGTTTGGGTTAATGGAACTTTATCTGCGTTAACTGTTGTTAGGATATTTCTTTAAATAATTATTTAAATCTAAATTGGCATGCTTCTATTTGCATAGTGTGGAGCCTTGGTTAACCAATATCTTATGTTTATAGTGTTTAGAGCCCAAGATAATAGGTTCTAGAGTTTGCAGAAACATGCTACAAATTGGTGGAAACAAAATAAAGAACTTAAAATTTCATTGTTTCTATTATTATTCAGAATATATTCAGTATGTTAGGATCGTGAATGACGCTAAGAGGGGGAGTGAATTAGTGCTATCGCAAACTTTCGACGATTTTGAGAAATTACGTTCAATAAAGCCCGTAGTGAAAATATGTTTAAACTTAAAAACATTCATAAGAGTGCATGCAAAAGTAGTAAACAGTTAAATAAGAAGGCAATGAAGGTAAACAACAAAAGAAAAAAGCACGTCGGATTTATAGTGGTTCGGTCGTCGTGACTTACGTCCACTCCCAATTCCTCCTCCGTCAAGGCCATCAGCTTCTACTATCGATCTTCTTTCAACGGGTGAAGATCAACTATCGTCTTACAACTCTTTTTCTTTTTTACAAGTTTAAGAGACAACCTTTACAACTCTCACACCTCTCTTAGAATGATCACAAATCTTAAGGAAGAGGAGGACACTTAGCACTTTTTCAAGACTTTTACCACTTAGAATCTCAAGACTTTTGTTTTCAATTTCGTGCATTTGCAAGCAGGAAAGATTAGGGTATTTATAGGCTCCAAATGACTTAAAAAATGAAGCCAAAGAGTGTCTCACCCCGGGTTTCCGGGGTACTGGCGGTATCACTGCTAGTACTGGGCGGTACCACCACCTACTCCCTTGACAACTGGTGGTACGATCGCCTGACAGAGCCTCGAAGATTGAGCTTTGGCGGTATCATCACCTAACAGTATTAACTGTCGGTGGTACCATCGCCCAGTTTGGGCGGTGCAATTCCTGGGAGGTCGAGCCTTAGGCGGTTCCACCGCTAGCCCTGGCGGTGCCATCGCCTGACATGGCTCCGGGTCACTGAATGGGCCAAACAACAAGCCCAATTCAACCCTAATTTGGGCTCAATTGGCCCCTAATTGAGTTAGTAAGGTTACACCCAGTCTAGTTGCTATAGAATCAACAGATGAGGAGGGTGTTGGATCTGTCAGAGGTGCTGCCTCAAAGGGACTGGTAGGATGAGATTGACTTCCCCAATGTTTAGGTGTTTCTGGTTCTAGCTCAGGTGGGGGGAGGATCAGTTCTCCTAGGTAATCTAGTCCAAACATGGTTCATTACTATGTATCTTAATCTTCTTAATAAGTTTCTATTGATAATGTTGAATCTGTCTAGTTTCATAGTTTCTTCATTTGGGGGAAGGACTATGTCGTGTGCATGTATCAGTCTAGTAATTAAGCCACCATATGGAAGCATCATGTCTTTCATTGGCAACCCAATCATATTTTGACGTATCAAATATGCAAAGTAGTTATCACGTCCTTTTATAATCCAATATATTGTACTTATTTCCATTTGACTAACTTCATTATGATATTGTTTGGAAGTAGAATGCTAATTATGCTATGATGAAGTACTTTTGTATTGAATGATAGCACATGCTCACAACTTTTAGGAACAATAGACAGATTAGGATTTTCAAAGATAGTAAATAACGCCTTAGACTATGTAACCCTAACCGATTCAGTGTCCCATTGTCCTCTAAAATAACATCTTTTTTTAGGAATTCTTATAAGATTACAAATTGTGCTATCCGTAATAGGTATATGATGTCCCAAAAGATAAGTGGTGCTACCGCCAGTCCAGTAGTGTCATCGTTGGCGCACTGCAACATGCACTATTTGCATCAATCATTCAACATTCACCTTATCCTACATTTAACATTCAAGCCAGTAAATTTTTCTTTATGAATTGTGCAAGCTAGCACTCCTGGTTATCTTGAGATGTGCAAGCTAGACTTTCTCTTTTTCTAGCATTTTTTGTTTCTTTTTTGAGATGCTAGCAAGCGAGTAGTCTTGCATCTTCTTTGAGATGAACAAGATAACAATCATCACATGGTGCAAACATTCAATGGTGCAAATATTTTAATCATCACATAAACGAAAGAGAGATTAAGTCATGAATCCGAAAGTCCAAGAATCAAAGCTCTATTTTTGTAAATTGAAAGAGGAAGGACGATCTTGATTTAAAAGGAAAACTCAAGTTACGAAAAATCGAGAAATCAAAAAAATGTATAAGAGGAATTCATGCATTAAGAAGATTTAACATGCCTAATTCTCTTCTGATAAAATCAAATTGCTCCTCATTCAATGGTTTTATAAAAATATCAGCTAATTGATGTTTTGTATCAATAAATTCTAGAGATATCTTATGGTTATTAATATGATCTCTAATAAAATGATGTATAATATCAATATGTTTAGTTCTTGAGTATTGAATGAGAATTTTTGTTAAATAAATAGCACTAGTATTATCACATTTTATAGGGATATTTTTCAAATAAATTCTATAATCTTCTAAAGTGTTTTTTATCCAAATAACTTGTGCACAACATGCACTTGCTGCTACATATTCAACCTCGACGGTAGATAATGTAACCAAATTTTATTTTTTGGAAGACCAAGAAATAAGTGAATGATCTAGGAGTTGACATATTTCAGATGTAGTTTTTCTATCTATTCTACATCCACTAAAGTCGGCATCGGCATAAACAATTAATTCAAAATTTTTGATTTTTGGATATCATAATTCTAGATTAAGAGTTCCTTTTAGGTATCTGAAAATCCTCTT